CCCGCCCCCCATGTCTAGCAACTGTAGAAAATTGCTGTTCTGCAAGCATAGCAGCAGATTCCAAACATCCCTCCACAAAGACTTACATGATACTTGTTTAGGAACATTACATTTTGATGCATGAATATTTTTAAAAAACAAATGCCAACATACCATTTTTGTCCCTTAAAGTCATGTTGGTATGTTTAAGTGCCTCTACCTATAATCCGTCACAATGGACCTCAGTGGCTTGGCATCTGTAGAACAATCTGATGATCCACCTAGAGTATTTCAGGTGAACTGTGCAGGCTGCCACCGGTTTGTGGTGACTTGCAATATTTTGACTGCTGTCCCCCAGATATTCCTTTGTCATGAATGATATTAATTCATCCCTATTGCCATTTCCCTGTAAAATTCAAGGTCATTTATTTAACAAAAACCACCTGGCTGACGGAATGTGTCATGTGAAAATTTTGTACGGCTGCAGATGATGTATTTCCTTCCCAAATGCAGGGAAAAGAGCCCAACTCCTTTGGTAAATTAGTGGGCTGTTAGGATAAAGCATCTTGTTTTGCAAGAGCAGGTACAGTGCTTGTGCGACATTTCCACCGCAGGATAAATGTATGTAGGGAATAAAGATAAACACTCCAGCACTACTGGTGAAGATTACAATTGCCTTTCGCATGACGTTAACACCCCTTGATCCTTCTGAAGCAAAATATTTGAATTGTAATATTAATCAGCAGAAAGAGCTCTGGTGACTGAAAGCTCTGATTTTAATTCAAATATTTCTCCATGCTCCTACTGCAGAGAGCTGGATTTGGCATGGCTGTTTCAGCTGTTTACTCAAGCTTGAAATCCTGTAAATAATCCAGTGCTACACATATATGGCAAGGGGCAACTCTGTGTGGCAAACGTCTGAATATTTGGGCCTTTTTCCCAAAATGCACGACGTTAAATTTAGAAAACTTTTTGGATTTGATCCTTCATAGGCCTCAAACTGAGGCCGTCAGTGGGATTTTTATATGAGCAAGGAGAAATATATCAGGCTGTTATTGTGGAACACAGAACTGCAGCATCATACAAGAGTAGGATTCATGGGAAACTTACAATCAGGTGTATCCAAATCAGAATTGACAGGTCTTTAGATCAGCAAACTGGAAGCTATCAAAGAATCTAGAATTCTGGGATGCATACATGGAGAAACCCCTGTATACAGGTTTTGTACTTATTACTATGACAGGGATAGCAGCATTTGTCTAAGCCATAACTCTCAGAGAATGGGCACCTAATTTCCTCACATGCAGAACAGAAAATGAAACTCGAGGATCACATTCAAATTATTTTGCATGTATAGTCTTATTTGAATATGCAGAACATCGGTAGAAAAAGCACCAAGGAAATGATTGTTCGGGCAAAACTAGCTTATACTGGCAAAGCTCCGTTCTAAGGTTGATCATGTATTGAAAAAAAAATAAATTAACAATGCCCTACAAGAGTAAAAAAAAAAAAGTTACAGATTGGCATGGCTTTAGGTGTTTCAAAGCCAGAGCCCCACCCTTTGTTGGCAGCACTTTTGCTGAAGATTATGGAAGTTGTGAGGAGACCCAATGTATAAAGTCAGCCCTTGGGTTTCTTAGAGGGGGCAAAACCTGAAGGGGCTGCACAGGCTGAGCTCTGTCGATATACAATCTTTCCTTGGTAAAGCTAGTAGAAAGCTGCCAAGAGGTCACTCGCACACACCCAGGTAATAAAACTTACTACTAACTCTAGTTCAGGATCACTGCCGTATCTAACAATAAATGCTATTATTCTTTCGCCTTTGCTTCCCAAGGTAGAGGAGCAGACAATGCTTTTGTTATGAACACGAAGTACGCTGCAACGGTTTGCAGACTTGGCGTATGTTGCATAAGGTGTAAAGCAAACATTCTGTGTGAGGCTTACCCATCATCCTGCCATGCTGCATGATAACGACGTTGGAATTGAGCGAAGCTGGTGGAGGGTAAGCTGAAGAAGGGGAAAAAGGCCTTTGAAAGGGACTCACTGGGCTGGCAGCAGTGCCAGAGTTCCCATTCACTGTGATCTGAGCCTGAGAGAGACAAAACAACATCCCGTTAAACTTCACGCACAGCCCTCCGCCGGCCATCCCAAACAGAGCGAGGCGAGGCTGCCATCC